TCTTTGCAAAGAGAGGGGCAAAAGCTTCACTCAGGGCTGGACCCTTGAGGCTTAGCACATGGAATCTGGATTTGAATAGCTCGAGACCATGGTTATTAGTGTGCAGCCGTAAGGATCAGGGATGCTTTGAGGCAGCACTTTGATGCTGAAAATCAGTAAAACTTGTTGCCATGCATGGGAGGGTAGTGGCTACATTATAGGCAGCCCCCGACTTCTGACACAATTGGTTCCCGGGGTAGCGTCACAAGTTGGGGGCATCGTAACTTGAACCCGCATTTATGATAGGCGCTGTGCACTGTCGTAAATGAGGGCCGAGGACGTAAGTCAGGGGGTTTCAGCCCCTTCTGTGCTTACAAAAATGGTTGTCAGTGGAGGGGAGGGGGTCATAACTTGAGCGGTCGGAAGTCAGGGGTTTCCTGTACTAGGAGGTAGCTCTGCACTTAGTGTGGCAGTGACTGTAGTTTTGCTGGGGTATGTTTGCTTGCATGTAAATTGATTTGAAACAGATTGATTTAATTTATTAAAAACAGTAAATGTAAGACACGTGTGAACCATGAAACATCTGCACTTGGTGGGAGTCGGGAGGAAGGGAAGGAGAGGCAGGAGGTGAGGCATGCCCCGAGAGTTTCACAGATTTGTATATGTCCACATTTCATATGTAGCCCTGCCATCTGATGTGCTGTGCAGGGGGGGCTGCAGTTCATCAAAGCTAACTGCATGTTGATGGGTGTAGAGTGCATCAAGAGCTTGCATGAGTCTGCATGGGTGGAGGCTGAGTGGCCAAGTGTGGAGTGTGGCTGGTGCTACCCGGTAATAGGGTGGTGGCCAAATTGTGTTGGCAGTAACATGGGTGTGTATTGAAAACAATTTTGAGACTCCAACTGCAGGAGGGGGCTGGTCACACAGCTGTTCTGGCTGAAGTTTTAGCAACATCTACAGTGCGTCCACTTGCTGCTCCATAATGTTTAGGAGCCGTGCTGTGTTCTCCTTCCACTACCTCTTCTCACCGTTCCTCCACTGCTTCAATTCTTTCTGTTTAGCACCAGCGTGACTCCGGGAGTCATGCAAAAACTCCTCTTGAGTCCATTGGGGGCATTTTCTTGCCCTTTTGAGCTCTCTGCAGGCAATATCAGTTAAGACTGGCATGCCCAGGTCAGCTCTGTTAAGGCACAAATGCAGCATGTTACATTGTTAACACTAAATACAACAGTGTCCTGACCCCTTGTAAACACAAGCGCTGTTAACATACCTACACTGACTGACTGTCCCAGCGTGAGTGCTCATAAGATATAGGAACCCAATGGTGACTTCACCAGCGGGGCAGGAGTTTTCATTTGAGCCGGGAAGCAGGGGCTTTCATTCGCGCAGGGCCATACTGTTCTCTGGGCAGGTGCGACTTGTGGGGCGAAGAGGGGAGATTGTTAGTAATGCCCACTCAATTTTCACAACCTGTGTTCTGAGCAGAGAAGGAAGGGAGTGGTTTTATTTGACTGTGGGTTTCATCCAGTCCCATACGTGGCTTGTCTTTGTGCAGCTATTTTGCCCTTCCTCCACCCCTGCCACTGATGGCACAGTAGCAAGGGAATGTCAGCCCTTATGGGACAGGGAGCACAGGAGCTTTGCCAGCATATTTATGCAGACTCCTGCTCCAGCAGCTGCATGTCATTTTCAGTGAGATCTGTGAGGCAGATTACATGAAGGAAGAGATTGCATCAACTCCCTGTTAAGGGCCTAAGCAGCCCTGTGTTAGTAGCAGCAACATATAAAACCAAGTCTCCTTTCTGCAACACTCCTGCTCACATGATGTTTTCCAGAAAACAAATCCATTTCCCAGATGCATCCACCGCAGCTGCAACTGTCTTGCATCATTGGGGGTACAAAATAGCTCCTGAGTGCAAGCATCTATGATGCTGAGTTGTCTTGTGGCTCTCGGTCCCCTTCCCCATCAGAATGAAGGTGGGTCACTTCCAAGTCTGTCATCTTGCTCTTTGTAGAACCTGCAGGCTGTGGGCACAGCACCTTGCTTCCCACACCTTGTGGTGGTTTTTTTCAGCTCCTTCATTTTGACCCTGCATTTCAGTGCGTCCCAGTCCTGGCTCCTTTTGGTCATGCATCTCAGATATCATAATTCCTGTTCCTGGAGCACAGCTCCTTTCCTCAAATGTTGATGAGGTCCAGCACCTCAGCATGGCTCCATACAGGGGATCTCCTGAAACATGGAGCAAGCATGGCCAGCTGGAAAGATGTGCTAAGAACACACCACCTATCACCAGACAAACAGAAAGAGGACTTTCAAATTTCAAAAAGAAGGCAAAGGGTGGCTCTGAGAATTGGTCACCTGAGAACAAGGCAGATGAGTTCAAATAGATGACCAGTCAAGGTAGGAAGGGTTCCGGAGGCCAGTCATGATGGAATATTACACCATGGTGGTCCACTCTGGCACTCCAGCATTCTACCTACAGCACAGCAAGCTCTAGGCTTCTTGAGGTGGTTTACCTAGAGTAAAGCAACTGTGAAGCTTGTGCATAGTATGTGCCTTGCCAGTTACAGCACTGGAAGCTGATTTAGTCTGGATGTCCCCACTATATCACCAAGGTAAGTTTACAAAAATGTGGACATATAGCAAAACTACATAAAGCAGGGAATTTTTTTTCCTGCGGCTGACTTCTGTTTGCATAAATTGGTCCTTTTTTTGGTGTGACATAAGAACATGGCATGGGAGGATTTATAATGCAACAGTTCCTACAAACATCAATGATGTTAGTGCAGAACTGACGTATACCAGGATGACATATAGCGAGGATGCCCTGTAACTTGCCAGTGTAGACTTGACCAAAGAAAGACTTATTTTGTTTTGGAGTTGAGTGGTTGGGCAAAATGTGCACAGATCTCCTCAACATCTGCAATCTACATTCAAAACCCCAATATTTGCACATTAGTATGTGTGGGTCTCATTATTGCTACAAAATCATGCATTTGTATTTTATTACTATATATTGTATTTGTGCATAGATATGATCAGCTGGACCTCTGGGCACAGCATATGTGTGAAGGTAAAGGGCATCACTCACTGTATCACTCACTGGGGCATTCGCTAGTTTATGCAGGCCTCATTGCTTGGGACACAGTGAGAACTTCACTTGCACCCCATATTTGTCTGTGCACATTTGTGTGCCAAACCAGTCACCAAAGTCCAGTATTTGTGTGTATGCCCAGTCCTGCACTGTTACATCCACTGGCACAATATGCACGTGGACGAGGGAGGCAGTGGCTGGCTCTCCCATTTCGCTGTTTATCTAGTAACACAACGCGGAAACATGAAATCACAGGAAAGCCCCAGAACTCCTCATTAAACTCACGCTAGAAAAGTGTCAGGGGACAGGGCCACAGAGCAAAAACCTCAGCACTATGTGTCCCTCCCTCACTACCAGACAATGGGCGGAGCCATCAGCAAGACCAGCCCCCCCAGTACATCATGATAGGGGGATGGGATAGTTCCCCAGCGGCAAGAGAAAAGACCGAGCGCGCCTGCGCACAGCACACCCCGATTGCGCTTGCGCAGAAGCTTTTGGTGGCGTAACCAATCTTGTCCCTCTTCCCGCCCCTTTGTGACACGGGCTTGATGATGGGCACGCAGTTATCCAATGGATGCGGTCTTTGCCGTTCAAACCGGCAAGGGTGGAGAAAGGGCTGCCAGTGAGAGAGCGAGGGGCGGGCTTATTTTTGACAGCAGGTTCGGCAGCTGCTTTTCCTGGGGTTTTACTGGGATTGGGGCGGCGTCTGCGGCTCAGTGTGTTAGAGCCAGCCGAGGGGTTGGAGCTTTGAGGAGCGAAGGCCGAGAGCATGGGGGTTAGGTAGGAGCGGCCCGACCCCAGCAGCAGCCGCCCGGCTGGCCGTCGGCGGGGAGGGC